TGGGGAGGATGGTGCTGGTTCCTTTTCAGGGGCAGCCACCGACAGAACTAGAGGAAATGGCTGGAAACTGACGCACCAAAAGTTCCACTGGAACTTAAGGAAAAATGTATTAACAGTGAGGGTGACAGAGCACTGGAATAGGCTGCCCAGAGAGGTTGTGGAGTCTCCTTCTCTGGAGATCTTCAAGACCTGTTTGGACGCAGTCCTGTGCCACGTGCTCTAGGTGACCCTGCATGTGCAGGGGGTTGGACTAGATGACCTCTAGAGGTCCCTTCCAACCTTAATGATTCTGTGATTCTATGAAGGATGCTGCACAGGATAAAACAAACACGACTTAGAGCCTCAGGCAGACTGAAACAGCCCCAGTGTTTAACGGGAGCTACCCAGGACACTGCACCAAGACTAACCAAGCCAAGAGTTGAAGGAATCCTTGTATTACAGGGCTCACGCCTGAAAACTGACTGAAAAGGATTACAGTCTGCAACCAAGACGATTTGAAAGTAAGCGTCACGGAAACCAAAGCCCAGTCTCACCCCACGCGAGTTCTGTCACCGCTAAGAGGCACAGAGAGGTCTTCCCAAGCCTGAACCCCTTTGGAGCAGTTAGTGGTACCCGTATCCCTCAAAAAGAGAAGGGGGGAAAGAGATTATCCTGAAATTTAATGTTTTAGCTGGAGCGTTTCCTTTGTGAAAATGTGCCTACCGGTAGTCTCCCTGCAAACAGAAAGGGCTGCAATTTAAAACTCCCCTGGCCTAAATTCCCATTTCAGCAACTCAGTTCAGATGCATGGAAAACCCTCAAGACTATTTTGTGTGTGTATGTGGGGGCGGGGCATTAACACTGCATCTCTTCCCACCATTGAGAGAGGCTGCAGGACAGGTACCGTAACAGGAAAAGCAAGAGAAGAGCTTTGATAACCTGCTTTAAGTCTGCTTATGTGGCTCAGTTTCCTTTCCAGGTATCCACGTCTGCAAGCAAAGCCACAATTTTCGTATAACGCATTATTGCAGTAGTCAATACAGCTATGCCTGAGTTAAATTGAAATTTTAAGTATTTTTTTTAAAAGGCTACATATCTAACTCCTAAATTTCCCAGGTAAAAAGAGAAATGGGAGCTGGTTATTTATAGAGGGTAGGCCCCACTTAGCTAGTTAAAGAGGTTTCGTACTTGGATATTTGAAATTCTGCATTTGCCCCCAAATGCCATTTTCAGCAATCCAATAACCGCAGCAGATGTAACTCTTATTTACTCCCGTAGTTCATGCTTAGACACTGCACTGATTAAAGAGCAAACCTCGCCCGCAGATTTGATGGGGCCGATTAATCCTCTAATCCACTTTGCGAATGGGGAGTCGCACACGAGTCTGCGGATTCCCGACCCCCAAGTCCCTCTCTTTCTTATCATGATGACTCCAAGACACCTTTTCCTGTGGCCTTCTGGAGGGGAGAAGTAACCTGTGTGTTAACTGCCCCCTCGAGCAGCCCGCGAGGGCAGGTTGCTTCATCCTGCACAAAGTGGCCAGGCAGGTTCAAAGAGCCCTGATCTGAGGCGATGCAGAGGAACCGGCTCTGCCGCTCCTGCAGACTCAGGAGGCTGCGTCTGCCCAGCGCGGGGACAAGGACAGCAGCATCTTGCACAAAAATGGGCTGCTCACAGAAAACGGCACTCTGCTCAACTAACTCCAGTCGCTCCCCTGCTAGAAAAAGTCAATCCCTAAGAGAAATGCATTGAAATTTGATGCAAAAACTGCCAGTCTCCTTCGGGCACTGAGGTTGATGCACCGGGCAACACCATGAAAGACCAAGCGAGGATGAGGAGGAGCAAGAGCGATCGCAAGAGCGGCCTTCAGCACCGCCTGCCTCGCCGGCCCCGGCGCACGGAGAATACGCGTTGTTCCACCACCAGGATGGAGGCGATGGTATTCGCAGGCCTGATGTGATCTTCCATTTCACTGCTTTTTAAGGGCTTTTTTTTTTTTATGAAAAACATAAGCCTTTTTGCCTAAAAATAAGCTGTACAGGCAAGATTTATTCTCACTAATTTATTATTCTTCCAGCAAGGCTACCCTCAAACCAGCAGGGCAGGCAAAAACTCATCCAGCACCAGCACCCATGACCCTCGCAGGCCCAGAGCCAGCGGTAAGGACTAAGGAACTCGGGCACTTACAAAAACAAAATCCTAGGAGTCTACGTTCTCCTACAGGTTTATATAGTTTATATATTTTCTAAAACATGGCTTATATAGCGTTAAAGGGAAAGAAGAAGCGCACAGATAGTCTACTGTGCCACTGACTAAAGGCTACTTGTTTTTCACTCTGCAGGACACGAGGTAACTGCCAGGCAGAAACTTCTGTCATCCATAAAGATGTTTAATCTTCACATCCATAAAGATCTTTAATCTCCACATCCATAAAGATGTGAAGTGCTGCAGAGCTGGATATACTACAGGAGAGTTTTCTTCCCCTCTACTTGCTCCCTGAAAAGCGTCTCCTACGGTTTCTGGGACCAGACATACAAGCACAGTGCCCATTCGTGCTGGTACTCACAGTCTCTGGGAGTATTTAAGAAAGCTTCTGCTGTAGACGTTTGTCTTTCACAAGAAAGGGTGGATCTGCAGAAAATGGTACTTAGAGCACTGTACGAAGGAAACCTTGTATTTTTTCTTCAGCAGCTTCTGAGTAGTCAAGGCCAGATATGAAACTGTCTCAATAGTTTCTTTTCAATAGCAAGGCATTTTCACAGAAGTCCAGTTTAAAGAGCGTAAGTCAGAGGAGTATACAGAGCACTTATGAAGATGTGAGGGATGCATCTGCACTGGAAACCCAGAGACAGAACACAGAACATGCAAGGGTGGTGGTCAGCATGCCTGACGAGTCTAATCATACTGTTCACCCTTTAGGAAATGATACAACAACGGGTTAGATTCACCTGAAAACTCTTGGAATGGCTGTCGTTACTGCAGGGGAAGTTTTATCCATAAAGCAAGTTGCTCAGATGAACTTTTCACAGCTGCTCATTTGAGAGATGGGGAACTTGTGTTACAGCCTAGCAAAATGCTCACCGTATCTGGGCGGTATTGTGAGCACTGTGATGCTGGGGGCTTCTAGTGCTAAAAGGGACACCTAAGGGGTTAACACCACAAGTCTAGACAGGACGAGACAGCATTTCCCATGCAAGAGTGAGCAGGATAGTCAAACCTGTACTGGTCCCTTCTATTGTGGGAAGTACAAGACAAAACGTAGAGGGAACACTATGAGAACAGACCCCTGGGCACGAGCACCGCTCCGATCTTCCGGCAGCTGGGAAGTGTTCAGGCAAAAGGCTGTGTGCACGAGTGCCGAAGTCAGGCATTCCCCCCGGATTGCTGCCCGGCGGAGGGGGGCTGCTTTACTCTTTTTAAGTAAAAAGGATGCTCTGTGGCCACGCTTAGCTCCACAGCGTAAAGCAGCACCCAAAAGGTTCCCTGTAATATCGAACGGGCCTGTTTGTTCACTCCTGGCACTCGGCCTGCGCATCCTCTTGCTGCCCTCTCCTGCAAGCAGCCTCTCGAGGCAGTAAAACCCTTTCCACACCAAAGCAGCACAGCAATTCCGTGTGGTTTAGGCTGGAGTTCCCCAAGACAGATAAACTAAAGCGTTGAGCTCAGCTCCTTCCCCAGCACGAGGCAGATGCTGCAGCGGCACTTACCGGTCGGGGGCTGCCCGTAGGACGTCGCGTACGCGGTCTGCCCGTACGTCGCCGTCGTCTGCGGTTGCGTGTAGCTCACGTCGGCGGGCTGGCCGTATGTCCCGTAACTCTGCTGCCCATAAGTCTGCTCCAGAGATGACAGGGGTTTAGCTGGGGAAGGGGCTTACGCGCGTCGCGCGCACACACACTGCCCTGGTGACGCACGCAGCACAGCCGAGCCCAGGCTGCTACGAGGGTTTGGTGCTGCTGCAAACTGCCATCCAGGGAATTCACGAGGGCAATTTCTCAGGGACATGACTGGAGGGGGATCTTCTTAAATTAGCACAAAACACCCCTGCTCTACGCAAAGCGAAACACGAAAACGTCTGGCTCGTCACTATCTAGGCACACAGGAGCATTAGCTGCTTGGGTCTGCTAAGAGGGCAGGACCGCACTACAGAAAATAAACCCAGTCACCTCTGCACAAAACTGCCTCAGCACTGACTAAGAGGGACCCATTTGAACTTTCAGTTAGGAATATTCTTTATGCCTACTTGACAACAGTCTTAAAAACGAGAGCCTATGTGGGCATCCTTGGGTTTACCCTTCCCCAAAGGGTCCCAGTTAGGGTATGTCTCTTTTGGTGCCCTTGAGGATGCGTTTGGCGAGAGCCCTGGAGCACACAGCCAGCTCCACCACTAGGGCCACCACTAGGGCCAGCTTATGCTCCCCGCCTCGCTCAGTGCCAAGGGCAGCAACACGAGCAGCAGCCCTGGCTCGCTGGATTAGTGCTGAGCTGCTGCTGCTGCAGTTTTACCAGCTTAGGAGCTAATCTGTGCCACCGGCTCAAACGTCAGGAGGCAGCCAGCCTCAGGCGCACCCGGGTGGTCAACAGTTTGGGTTAGGACAAAACTCTACTTACGGCTTGAAAAGCAGCACCAAGACAAGCCTTAATGCTAGATTCCTGAAGCTATTTACTGACTGCAGGGAGAGCTGGATACCTAATTGCCTTTTTGGATCTAAGCTGGTCTCACTAAACTCAAACCACAGGTCTTAACCAAGAGCCGGAAAGTTTGACCAGACTCGATTAATCCCCATTAGTCAAAATCCACAACACCAAGAGGCAGGAGATGCTGTCATCCTGCCATGGCTATTCGCCTGCAGCTGAGTTTGAGACAAGTCAACCTCACACTACAAGCACGTTGATGAGGTCTGTTTTTCTGCGCTCACCAGGGCATTTTCACTTATTTTTCTGCATAACCTCTGCATTCAGAAATAGTTCTTGGAATTGTTCTGTCTCAATGTATTTATTCAACACAAAAGTCTTCGTAGGCACCATTTCGGATGACCCAAATGCCAGGAACGAGCCTCAGGCTCCTCCTGTAACAGTGTTATTTTTACAAAGCGCATTTTTACACTGCAGCAGTAAGTTAAAAAAAATAAACAAACTAAAAAAACACTTGGAATGTACATAAATGTGTTTGGACCCTAAGGATTAAAAAAGCATCATTTAATTAATCTCTTAAAGATTGTTGTCATTTTGCAGTCTAGTCAACTGAAAATATTAATAGTTTTAGCTTAAACTTAATGCAAAATCTGTTCTCGCCTCCAACTGCTGCAATTGCACAAACGGCATCTCCTCTTATTTATTTACTTATTTTTTAAAGGTTTCTCTCCTACCCTGCACACCAAGCTCAAGATTTTTGTAACTGTCTCAGCACCAACAATCTCAGGCTAGGAAATATCAAGGGGACTGCTGAAACTCTTTGCCTTTAAGTTGTTTTTTAGGGAGGTAGTTCTGATTGCACGGGAAGCCACAAGGCAACTTCTTAATGATGGTTTTTGACACTGATATTCCATGTTTTTCACGGCTGGCAGAGCCCTATGTAGGAAGACACGTGATTCTGTAGCAATTAGAAAAACAATCCGTGTTTTACCTGGGTGGTCTGTGCATATCCCTGCGCTGGCTGAGGTGCGTACGCGCTGTAGCTGTAAAACGAATTTAAAGACACTTAAAATGCAGCCCCGTGTTCCCGACCTCGGTAGCATATGCAGCACACACGGCAATTTTCAAGTATCCAAATGACTTCTGCTGAAATCCCAAGGCAAAAAAGAATCTAAGATTTAAGGGAAAATTGTAATACCGCACCTATACTTGAGTTAAAATATAATTATTATACCTTTTTAGAGGACAGAAGATAAGACTATGGTGCTACTTACCCCTGCTGGGCTGCAGCTTGGCTATAGGTACTATAATCTACAAAGAAAGAAGAAAAAAAAGGTTGAAAAGGCATTTAACAAAATTAACAGGGTAAGAGCACAGCAAAGATGTTTAACAAAATCCACAGTGTAAAAGCAGCTGGAATTTTCTCCAGCAGCTTGAAAAGAGAAAGGGCAGCTATAAACCCCTGGAAATCATAGATTGGGAAGGCCTGAGGTATATGCACTTTTACAGTCTTTTTTGAAGGAAACAAAACCTCTCTTCCCCGCATTGTTTGGGCTGTTTGTAGCAGCAACTTTGATCTCAAATGACCCCATTTTAATTTAACTGCCACCTTGGATAACACCCAGGCAGACTGGCAGGAGGGTGTTTTGTTTGGGAACAAAAGAAATGCTGGGGCTGACACTTAGATACCCTCCCTTGCAGAAGGCCAGGTCGGTTGCAGCTCTTTGGGTCACAGACATGACGATACTTCCCGCTTTCTATTTAACTTTCAGGGGCAAAAACAAATTGCTGGAAAGTTCTGCCTCTCGGAATCAAAGTTCAAGAGAGGCCGCTGGCAATAAATCCCTTCCCAAAGCCCTGACCCGAGGCAGGCACCTGATCCAGAGGAAACCCAAAATTCGGAACCGCATGCAAGGAAAGTCTACCCTGAACCGCCCGGCGCTGCAGGGGATGGGAAACTCAGCCGCAGGGGATGGAAAACACAGCCGCATGGCAACTTCCAGGCTATATTTGAGATGGTTACAGCTCCTAAAGGGAGGCTTCCCCTCAAACTGCAAAGACTTTCCTAGTTTCCGCCCGAACGCCTCGAGCAAACAGTAGCGACGAGTTCGTCACTTCGACCAAACCTTCCCAGACAAATTCCAGCTCTGCTAGGATCGGACGAGTCCCACACATGGACTGCCCAGACCAGGAAAGAGGCCAATCCCTGTCCGTATTTGCCGCTGTGCTGGAAGCCGGCAGGTATGAAATCCTGTCACAGCTTCTCTCATGCAGAGCCAGGCAGAGAGAGGTTTAGGTGTTTCTGCTACCACACCACTCGGAATCAGTTAATCTCTGGTAAAAACCTGATGCTCACGGGTCTCGGAGCTCCACAGCCACCAGTTATTCCAGCTTACAAAAACCTCCTTGATCCCATTAGCACTCCAGCTGTTTGCAACTCGACCCGACAGCACCAGAAAACATTTCCAAAATCTTATTCTATGATTCTATGATTTTCTGAGTTTCCTACACCAAAGACCCCCGTTTCCTGAAGCCACGGACTCATCCACAAGAAAACTTCCTTCTCCTCTTCCTAGCCCCTCCAGGGGAGGCAATTTCTCCTCTTTCCCACTCCTCTCTCGCGGCAGGAGCTCAGGCCTGGGGTTCGTGTTGATAGAAACGCGTTAGAGAAGAGATGCCAAAACTTTGGTGGCAGTTTCTGACAGACGTAAAGTACCTCGCGCTGGCCACAGCCCAACGCAAAGATGCTCAGCTGCTCCTCAAGGGCTTCCAAACACCCGAGACGAGCCCCGGAGGGAGCTCTGCCAAAGGCCAAGGAGCACCGGCACCGATTCCGCCCATCCATCCGGGCTTCTCCCAGCTCCTGCTGCAAACACAGGGAGGTCACTTCAACCTGCAACTCATCTCCAGGAACTGTCCTCTCATTTGCCAGAACACGGATTAACAACCATATATATATACATATATATATATATATATATATAAAAAAAACACACCCCAGCTCTTATTTCCAATGGGAAACCAATCTCCATCCTTCTGGTCCACGCAGCTCCAGTGCGGCCCTAAAATAGCGGCTCCCGCCAAAGAGCATTTCCATTTATTAAGCGAAAAGGCAGCTGTATTGTCACCCCCCTCCTGACACTCGTGTCCTTAGTAACCCTTTTTCCTAAAGGCTCCCCGGCGCTATCCGTGCTGCTCAGCAAAGCGGGGTCCAGGATCTCGCACAGACCCGCGTT